TTATAATGATGGTAAATATTACGGAAAGAAAATTTAATAAAGAAATCTAGATAAAATTATTTATATTATGTGTGAGTGAAAGGAAGTAATACAAACAGCCAATGATGGTTCAGAAATTAAAACTAGGATATTGGCATGTATACCGAATTATGGTGAAGGTGATAAGAGCCGAAATTGAAAAGAAAGGGAGGAAGAAGAGTTTTTTTCTTTATCAGAATAAAAATAAAATATGAAAAGAAAAATAGTTAAAACCATAAGTTACAAAGAATATGAAATTAGTGATGATGGTTCCTGAAAACAAATCGGAGAAAAAAATACTACAGAAACCATTGAATTAGATGGCACTTATTTTGAAGAAGAGATGTTAAAACAACAATCTAAATATAAAAAATAAGAAATCTAGATATCATTAAAAATATATTATAATGTCAGTAAATAAAGAAATTAAACAAACGGTTAAACAGTATACTAGAAAAACTTCTTCTTTCAGAGAAGGAGATAAAGAGATTGTTGTGGAAGAGTATAAGGAAACAATTGGCGAAAGTGAAATTTCGGATGACTCTGATAAAAGGACTAATGTTTAGGTGTGGCAACAAATAGAAAAAATACTTAAAAATGTCAGAATTAAAAGTCAGATGTTATTATTCTAATTGTCAAAAGTTAGGTTTGATTGATGTTCTAATCAGACAACAATTTCCCACTGTGATAAATGGCAAAGAACTTTTTGGGGCTTTTAATTACTGATATTTTTGTCCTCCTACTAAAAAAGACTTGCCGCCTGAACTAGTAATAAGCAAAGAAAACGAAGTTTCGGCGAAGCAAAACGAAGTTCAACAAGAAGCAATAGAAATCACTGCCAAAATTAATGTTTGATTGAGAGATATTAATAATTCCCCTTGTTGGAAGAAATATTTAGAATCTAATAATGAGGGTTAGGGGTGTGTAAAATAATTATTAAAATATAAATATATAAAGAAATCAAGATAGTAAGAAAATATGACGGAAGAAAAAAAACAGGAACAAATCATAAATCAAGATGGAGAAGTAGTGGACTTTACTGATGTTAAAGCCGGTATAGCTGCTTTGGATAAGAAACAAATGATAATCGATTCTCAAAAGGCGGAAATCAGAGATTTGCGTAAGCAAGTTTACCAAAAAGATGAAAAAATAACGGACTTAAGTCAGAATTTAGAACAAGCTTTAGAAGGCAAAAATCGTTATCAAAGGGAATTTATGAGGGCTAACAAAATCAATGTGGAGGCTCAAAATAAAGAAAGAAGTCCTTCTGATGGTTTTGTAGACGATTTGGTTGGTAGAATTAAAAGAATGAAAACTGGTACCTATTCTGGAAAATAAGAATAGATAGTTTA